GAAAACGAAAGAAAGAAAAAATTCAAGAAAACGCAACTTACAGCTCAGGTATACATTTTGGAATTGAATATTATAGAAAAATGAAACGTGCGGGACGTGATAACGTTCGGGGAATAGGAGATATAGACCTTGTTTAGAAAGAGCGTATAGGAAAGGTACTGATTACTAAACTTGAAATATAACTGGATACAAATAATAAATGAATGAATATCAAATAATAAAAAATGAATAAATCCGAGCTCATTTGGGTTCAGACTCTTATACCCGTTTTAATGGCTTTTTGTGACGTCAGTTTATCTTAGTTCTCAGTGGGAAACGAATTAGGATGGAAAAGGAGGTGGCAGATTTATTACTTGCCTTGAAAAATTTGAGTATCGAAATAACGTTACTATTCAAACGCACTTAAGATAAGTGCGTTAAGTGTTTCAATGACAAAATGGCGGTTTTTTGGGCTGGGTTCCCAGATACGTGCACGAAAATTGGATATCTTACAGAGAGTAGTAGGTGTCGTAAATAAGATTTAATTATCTGGGAAATTCTTCGTTAAATGAAGGATTTTGAATTTAATAAGAATGCAATATTTTATTTAATAAATGGAATTAATAAATTATTAAGGTACATGGGTGAGGTAGGTTACAGTAGCACTGTTCTAAACAAAAAATAATGACAATTAATTTTTTAAAATGAAAATATTTCAAAAATTGTCTCAAATCAAAACTCAGAGATGCTACTTTTACGAATTTCACTGTTGCCAAGTCGCATAAATAGTCAACCATTCAATTATTTAGTATCAAAAATACAGCAATTCGTTTCTAATAATTTTTCTTGTCCTAACAATATATAATAATATAACTATTGACGTTTTTTTATCCACCGAGCACCCATATTCACTCCCTTTCCCGCAAAATTGATAAACTTGATGGATATGTCATATTTTTGTTTAAAAAAATTATTTTCCGCCTACCTCTATCCAAAGTATACATTTTCTGGCCTCATTGCATAAATGAAATAGCTTATACGGCATTGACGACCTAAACTATATTCTATTATATAAGTATAAATTTTACCGTTTATTTATAGAACACCCTGTATTTTGCAAAATAGTAAAAACCAGTAAATTGTTATTTTAATGTAACGATTTTTACATTAATAATTTGACTTCAATTCATAGATTCATCCGATTTTCGAATTTAGGACAGAAATATTATAGCATGCTATAGTCGATTGACAGATCAGTTTCAAAGTCTGTTACGCTATAATATATCTACAAAATATAAAATAATATTTAAAAAATGAGTGATTTAAGCGAATTTGAAGATATAATTAATACACCACCGGATATTTTGGAACAGGTTAATGCAACAGTACAATCTCTATTACCCCAAAAATCTAAAGAAAAATACGAAGAACAATATTTACTTTCCTCCCTAGTAATACAGATATACCTGTGTTGGCTAGACCAACCTGGGATACCAGGTACTGCGCATAATAGAAAGGGGTCGTAAAATATGACCCAAAAAAAGTGTTATTTACTATAGAAAGAGATTTTAAATTCATATTTCGGAGTATAATAAAAAAAATGCATTTATTTAGATGACTTATGTTTAAACTTTTAATCTCTCAAGATTAAAAATCAATACAATTAAGTAATAATGATACTTTTATAGTTTTTAAATCATATATTTATGTGATTCCATTAAATTACAATATAGGTATCATTTGACATGATAACATTTTTCGTAAATATTTGTAATAAATTGTTATATATTATTATAGGCGTACAGTAGTCGTAATTTGAATAGTGTGGATAGTGGTTCGAGCCCCGAAACTTATAGTTTTTTTTTTTCTTAAAAAAAAAAAGGAAAAATATTATAGTTTTAAATATTATTGTATTATTACTTTACTTTTTTTTACGTTTCTTACTTTTTACTTTCCTATCTGTATACAGATAAGGAGAGTACCTATAGGAATCATAATTTTTTCGACCTCCAGTTTTCGACGGATTTTTACATGTATTGTAAGATAATAAAAATATGTTAAACAATATTAACTTCTCATTAGAAAAAAATTTGTTTATTTATCGGTCACCACGCTCAAAAAGTGTAACTTGAATTAATATTAAAGAAAAAACTTGAATTAATATCAAAGAAAAAAAATACTGCATAAATAAAATAAATAAATAATTATAATTGCATAAGTTGATAAAAAATGCTATGCAATAGCTTTACCGCGGTAGTGCCACACGTATTTTTTTTACATATTTTAGTTCAATGGACCGACCCAGACAACACACCAAGTCCCAGAGATATCCACAGAATATATTTTGTGGATATCCAATATATCCACAGGATATCAGAAATATTCCGTGGAACTAATATGGATATCCAAATGTCCGTCTATATCCAGAATATAGAAGATATCCTATGGATATTCAGCAAAATATCTAATGAGTATCTCCAGACAATACAAGAAATCCCAGATATATCCATAGAATATATTTTGTGGATATCCAACCAAATGTCCGTCTATATCCCAGGATATAGAAATTTAGATAAATATTTTATAATTATTTTTAGTAGAGGTTCATAAGTAACCAATGGTTATTGAATAACGTCGAAAGAAAATAGAGGTAAAAAATATTCCCAACAATCTGCCTTTGATTTTGCCTACTAAGGAAAAAATCATCCTTATTAGGAATCTTCAGCAATAAATGGAACTTCTCGACTTCAGTCTCTAAAGAAGTCTGTTTGTGAAACAATGTCGATCAAACTCAATTACGGCGGGTTAAGCATGAGTAGATACGAAAGTGGTATCGCCATCTATACTTAGGAAGCAAAATCAAAAATTACATCTAGTAGATATCCACGATGGTTTGCGTCCGCGCTTAGACTTTGATATATTTATATTTATAGTGGATGTCCATGGGATATTGAATACACCTTAAAAAAAATAATTTTAAATATCTCAACGGTACTATTAGCCACAATGGCGAGTACAATGGCGTAATTTTTTAATAATTTGCTATATAATTACAATTATTTATGGACATTTGCATGTCTATAAATTACATTTCATGGATATAAAATAGATATCCACCATGGACTGGACATTCAGTGGATATTGGGATGTTCAGTAGATATCCAAAGGATTTGGTGTGCTGTCTGGGGATTTACCTATTAATTTAATTTTTTTTTTTTCAAACTGTAGACCACACTCATTCTCACATTAAAATCGGTTTAGAGAAAAGAAAAACAAAATAAGCTTACATGCGGGCATTTAAAAGATTCTACCAATTTTTCATACTCAATGAAAAATGATATTATTTGAAAGTTAATCTTTTTTTTTTCATTTTTGCTTACATAATACGTACGAAATAAATATTTTTCCTACGACCACTTAGGAAATTGAGACATATCACACGCGTATGAATAAGAATTTACTTTCCACCCGTGTGCGAATATGCTACTTCCGCATCAGCAGTCACAAAATGTCAAACGCATCATTTAATAATAATTTTAAAATAACTAAGTTATATTTGCTTTTTATTAAAAAAGCGTTTATTACATGACAGTCACTATTGCTATTTTAATTTTATACGAAATGTGACCTCGAGTAGTTTATATCACAAAGCACGTATCTTCTAGAGACCCCACGCCAATGTTAAACTTTTAAACCAAATTAGCGCCACCTTGTGTTTGGAGCTGGAACTAAAATGACAATTGACAGATGGCGGTAAATTCAAATTGTAATTTTTAGGAGTAGGTAGTAGTTTTAAATTAAATTTTAAATGATTTCCACATAAATTATTTTATAAAATAAAGAATGGAACTAGTAAGTTCGAAACTTTTATTTTACAAAATAATTTAGGTCGATTATACCAAATTTGAGGAATTAATTTGTTATAAGCAGGGGTCTGATGTGGAGAGTTGGTTCTGCATATTATTATTAAATAAATATAAGATATATCAATAAATAATAAAATAGAACATTCTTAAAATATGTTTATTAATAACTTAAATAAATATTATTAGATAAAAATAAATACAAATAATAATACATATTTAACGAATACTTACTTGCAGCAAATAGGTATACAATCTCAAATCTTTAAAATACCTATCAATAATTTAAATGTGAAGTAGAGACTAGGATATTACATTTTATTAACACTAAAATAATAATATATTTTATAAATGTCTTTTAAACCGAGGACAAATGTAATATAGGTATTGTATTAAAAGGTGAATCCTTTTAACTATTCATTCAATGATAAATAGGTATTTTCCTTCCAAATACAGATGGTGGTATTACTCCACTGCTTTGTGTATTACTCTCTTATGTGAAAAATGATTTCGGAATCTAGTTCAGTGATAAATTGATTATCAATTAGTTGTTATGTCCGTTTGTCTTTTTATGATGCAGATGCATGGTGAATCAATGAAGTTTTTCTCGAAGTTTTCAACGTAGCACCCACAGGTAGCACCAAAATTATTGCAAAACACAGTACGAAATAGAAAAGCAAAACATCACAATTTTGCAAATAACTATAAGACGAAACTATAAACAGAAAGCAAAAGCTAAAGCCAACAAAAAATCACTAAAATTAGACGGAAAAATGAGATTAACCAAAAACATAAATAAATACACCTAACATCTTTGGAGTCTTTGGTTAAGTTTTTCTCCCATAAAGCTTAAAAATGGAGTAAGAAAAAGAAATTTACCAGTAGCCCCATCTAGAGTTTGGAGCAAATAGCATACAAAATGTCAGTTGTCGGTTTTGACCTTGGTCATTCACGTGGAACCTCTATGTGCTTTGTGGTTTATATCGTGTTCATTTTTAAATTTATATATTCGAAGGTCCGGCAACTACGTCATTTTTTCGAATACTTACGACGATACATGATGCATTGAACAATCCTATAGAGTCAAGTATGCTTGGTTGAAATGGTTTTGGTCATCTGGCAACACTGCTTTAACTTTTGATTTTGACATAAAACATAACCTTACTCCTTAGACAATGTTTTTATTATTTAATGTCATGGTAATTTTATCTTTTGCGTCAAGAATACTAACAAATGTTAATAAATGTGATATTAGAACTGCAAAAAATATGTGTGAGTCTGCAGAGAAAATATTAGCCCAACGAGCAGCGCAGTTAGCTCCATCACTTACACATGAATTACACAAAGGGCAAGCCGGTAGAATTGGTATTTTTGGAGGAAGCATCGAATATACAGGTAAACAATATTAATAATAGAATGCATTTAAATTTATGAACTATTAAATAAAGAAAGAACGTTTAGTTCACTGTGTTTAACCCCTGGTAGAATGTGTGAATGTTGCCCTTGTAAGGGAGGGACTTTTCTAATGTATAAGAGTAGGATTAAATAAACAAAAAAAAATCTTGGATCAAATCCTGTATGATTGTACTTGCAACTAAGTACCTACTTCTTCCAAACATTATTTTTACTTCTTGTTAACATGTAGGTAAGTACTATTATGTATATGTTTTACATATACTTACCTATTTATCTTTCCATTTTGATTCATTTATTGTATGAAGGTAATGAGAAATATATACAAATATTTTAAGTTATCATAGTTTCCTAATAATAATATAATAATATTTATTCGGCTTTGGGACATACATATTTATAATATTTTAAAAAGGTTAAAAAATGTATAAACATATAAGACCTATTTTCCTTGTCAACACATACAATTTTAAAAAGAAGAGGCATGCTACAATTGAGTTTAAAATAAATTAAAAATAGTATACAATAGGGCAAAAACATTAGACAATAATTATAATAAAGAGATACCATTACGCATCACTCAGTATCATTCATAAATTCTGCATAGGAATAATATGTTTTGGACGAAAGATATGCATAAAGCTTATTTTTGAATACATTAAAGATTTTTTCATTACCATTGATTTGAGTATATCTATTAAAACATGCAACACCTCTGTAGATTTCAGAATTATGTTCAACTGAGAACCTAGAGAAAGACTGCTATAGATATTTGTGATTGTATGTGTTATAATTGTGTGAGTGTCTATAACCTAATAGTTGGGATTCCTGTTTTTTTATATTAAGTATTAGTAAGTATATATACAAAGATGGAAGTGTTAGGATTTTAAAGTCATGAAAAAGTTGTTTGCAGTTAGTTGTTCTTGAAATGCCAACCATGCATCCTATAACTTTTTTTTTTGTACACAGAAAGCTCACTCCAGATTTATTTATTTATTTACGGGTTCACCCCCATTACAAAAATATACAATATATAAAAGTGTCTATTACAAAAAAAATTAAAATATATACCATAAAATATGTATACAAGTTTAAAAACTAAATTTGCGAGAGTATCAATCAAATTAAGCTCTTTTTACACGTTTTTTGAATGTACGAAGTAATATACCAAATATGTCTATATCCCTATTGTTAAGCATTCTCAGAGTATGTTCAACTGGAGAATGCATACCATAATTTGTGCAATGAAATGGAATGTGAAACAGTTAAGAGTATCGGAGATTTCTAGTTAGCATATATAAGCATATACTCTCAAGAAGCTCAGGACAACTTACTAAACCATTGAGAATCTTAAAAACAAATATCAAATCATAATCTTCCCGCCTTCAGTGATTTCATAATATCTGTGTAGTTATGATTACCAAATTGTTTATATGATCTGTACACACAGTACCTCAGAAATTTGTTCTGAACTCTTTCCAGGCTCGTACAATGGTTCTGATGATGTGGAGACCATACAATAGATGCATATTCCAACTGTGATACCACTACAGCAAAATATACCGTTCGTACGGTCCAAACAGAAAATCCATGGCAGTTGCGTAAAATAAATCCTAGGGACTTTGAAGCGTTCACTGTAACATTATTTATATGTCGTACAAAACGTAATTGTTCATCGAATATGACTCCTAAATCCTTCACAAAGGTTACATATGTCAACTGATCGCCATTAATTGAGTAGAACGTTTGAAATTTTTTATTACCTTTATAAAAACTTATATGACAACATTTATTAGCATTTAAATACATATTGTTATCATTACACCAAGTACTTAAATTGTTTAAATCGTCCTGGATTAAACTAAAAAAAGCTTTAAATCATTGACAAACATTAAAAAGTCACAGTTTTGGAAACATCTTGCAATATTGTTAACAAATATATTAAACAATAAAGGTGAGCAATGAGCGCCCTGTGGTACACCAGAAGATACATAGATTGTATTTGATTTAAAACATCCTATTCTTACCTGTTGCATGCGACCAGTTAAAAAACTCTTGAATCAATGTAAATATTGATCCTAAAAACCAAACATTTTTAATTTTTTCAATATAATGTTATTATCTACTCTATCGAATGCTTTGGAGAAGTCCGTATAAATCGCTTCCATCTGCCATTTCTTTTCCAAGACATTTAGTATTTTTTGTTGGAAGACCACTAAAATTGTAATAGTTGATTTATTCTGTAAAAAGCCATGTTGATTATCAATTAAACGTTTTTTGCAGTAAAATTTTAACTGGTTACATATTAGATTATCGAAAAGTTTTGGCAAAGAAGATTGATTGCATACACTACGATAGTTTGTTATATCTTGTTTATTTCCTGATTTAAATATAGGACGAATATAAGACTGCTTCCAAAACGTAGGAAAAAATCCAGAATCCAGCGATAATTTAAAAAGAATATATATTGGATGTGTTAGTGCATAAATACAATTTTTAAGAAATTAGTCTGGGCCGATGCTCATTTTATTGGGTAAAGCCATGATTTCATTAAAAATATCTTCAACAGATATAGAAAAATTAGGCATGGTGAAATTACTATTATTTCCAAAAACACTCAGGTCAGTGAATGGCGATTCAGGTGAATAAACTGTGGGAAAGAATTGAGCAAAACAATTTACAATGTGTTCTCCATCTGCTGCTATAATATCTCCATAATACATTGTATCTGGTAGGTCACAGGACGAATGTTTACTGTTTACATGTTTCCAGAAATATTTTGTATTGCTGCATAAACTATGGTCTACCTAATTTAATATAATTGTTATAGCAACTATTAGATACATTTTTGCATGATCTTCTAAGATCTGAAAAGACTTGATAATCCTGTAGAGTAAGAGTATTTAGATATTGTTTATGTGTAACTTTCTTCTGCTGAACTAAAGATCGTAACTGTGCATTAAACCATTTTGGATAGCTGGATGTTTTAAATTTTTTCACTGGCACAAACAAAGATACTGCCATATTTAGTATATTATATAATTCTGCTACTGCTTTATCAATGCTTGATAAGTTTAAATGATTTTTCCAATTGATGTTAGCGAAATAGTTATCAAGACCAATTTAATTAGCATTTTTAAAGTCGTAGTAGAATTCACTATAACATATTGAATTATTATTGTTCTTGTGTAAATCAGTACTGAAAGTATAACTGAAGTGATGATAAATGTTTTCAAAAATCACATCAGATGCTTGAAGTATCTCTAAGTTACAAAAATTTGAAAAACTAAATCTAAAAATGTATTTCTATTATTAGGAATGTTTGTAAATTGAAAAAATGTAGGAAAGCATAACTCTGAACTACCCGCATAGCATGAGAACCTTGAGGGCAATTTACTAATACACCATGTTCACTGTTATCCCAATATGCTTCAGGTAAATTGAAATCGCCAAATACATAAAACTGCTAATTATTTCTTTGAACAATGTCTTCTACTGTCCTATAATGTTGCTCATACACTACTTCTGAGAATTTGGGAGGAATGTATACTCCCCCAATAATAAATGTTGAACATAGCAGATAAAATTGTTCTACCGATTTGTGTAGAGGATTTAACACAGTTACTTTGATGGAATCTTTTATAATGATTAATATTCCTCCCCCTCTAGATTTGTCACTGGTTTCACTACATCGATCACTTCTGAAGATTGTATATGCTGGTATTTTAATTTCAGTATCTAAAATATTGTAACGAAAGTCTATTTATTTAAAAACACACTATTTACAATTTATTTCAGACGTACTATTTAATTTATATAATATTTGAACACTATCTAACAATTCTAATTTATTTCTTACACTTTTACTTTTCAATACAACGTTCTATCTTCAACTAAACTCGGCGCTAATACGCCGGCTATTTATATTAGTTCAACTCCGCTACTGGAAAATGCTAGAGGCTTCCGACAGTCGACTCGAACATTCAGCGGCAGGCATCTCGTCGTTTCTTGTTCATTCTAGAAACGGTCCGATTGTTTCCACACGTCATCGTTGCTCCGATAACGAGTTCGTTGCGTGCGTAGACAGAGTCGGACTTAATAATTTCATAACAATATCTTTGGATAACCAACTTTCGACTAGAATTAGTAAATCATAATTTGAACATAGAACGGAAGCTATGAGATCTTGAATTTTAGTACGAAAACCTCCTACATTTTGGCAATATATTTGTAATGGGGATGAGATTAGTTTTTTGTGGCCATTTTTTCAATTTTTTTTAGCTGAGCAGCCCCAAAAAGTTAGACCGTATGAGATAATTGATTCAACCAAACCAAAATGTGTAAATTTTAAAACATCAGGATATACAGTGTTTTTTAACTGCCTCATCTGAAAACATACACTGCTTACTTTATTTGATACATGATCTACATGGTTTTCCCACGTTAACTTGTTTGGTAGAAAGGTCATGATGTCAGTTTTTTTACATTAACATTTAAGCTGTGTGTAAACTATAAAATTAATGTGCAGTACTATTAGCAATATATTGAAGGTCAGATACATTTTTTGCTGATGTTCTAAAAGTTGTGTCATCTGCATATATAATTTTGGTACTTTGACTTTTACAAGATAGAGCTAAGTCATTAATAAATACTAAAAATAAAACAGGGCCCAATATTGAGCCCTGCGGTACTCCCGTTGTCACATTTCGACTATTTGATTTACTGCATCCGATGGTTACAACTTGTTCACGGTTGTTTAAATATGACTGTATCCACTTATTTGGCAGGCCCCTTATACCTATTTGGTACAATTTATGTACTAACAGTCGATGGTCAGTTGAGTCAAAGGCTCGTGAGAGGTTGAAGTATTAGGTAATATTTAATTCCTTGTTATTTAAAGATGTGTAAATAAAATCGCATAACTCCCCTATAGCACTAAATGTTGACTTATTTCTGCGAAAACCATGTTGAAATTTACTAAAAAGTCTATTATGTTCTAGAAATTTAATGAACATGTTATTATAGGCCATTTCGAATACTTTAGCCAGTTGACTTGGAATGCAGATGTTTCTATAGTTTGTCATGTCATTTACAGACCCTTTATTTTTATATATAGGAATGGATTTTCATTTTTTAATATGCGGATAGTCACCACATAAAAAAGACTCATTTATAAGGTAGGACATAGGTACACTTCTGCAATAAAAGACAATATTGTTCCATCTTTTTTATCTATACCGGCAGATTTTTTACAAGTTGTTTTCACTTTATTGACTTTGCCAACCTTGCTCTCAATTGATACTTAAGTAAATGTTACAAGGGCGGTCTACCCATTTTCGCGATTCTGATATTTTTGTTAAGCTTTATTTAACAATTTACAAAGCTAATGCATTAATTTGATTATTTTCAGCAATATATAACTTTTAAATTATTTATTCTTTTTTAGGTGCACCTTATTTTTCATCGATAAGTACACTCAAAGTTGGAGCCGATTTGGCTTACGTATTCTGCAATAAAGACGCTGCTACTGTAATTAAATCTTACAGTCCTGAGCTCATAGTATTACCAGTTCTAGACGATTCGGAAGCCTTATCAAAAATTGAACCATGGTTAGATAGGTTACATGTAATTCTCATTGGACCTGGATTGGGTCGCCATAATAGTACGTTTAATGTAATTGAAGGAGTTATAAACAGTTGCAGGGACAAAAAGAAACCAATGGTTAGTATATATCATGATTTATAATTTAATAAACCCCCATGACGGATTCAATTTTTTTAAGATTTAACAATAAAAATTCCAATGCATTACACGATTTAAACAGTTTATTATTCTAATTTATTTACGTTGAATAAACTAAGTAATTTATTTATACTCAAATACTATACTAACTTATATGGATATTTTCTTATATACTAATTTATATTACTTATATTGCTCACAGCGATGTCTCACTTGAACTACCCAGATAGTAAAACAATCCTATTTATATATCCAAATTTTACGCGCCAGACCTCTTGAAATTTCTTACTCTGACCAATAGCATTCGCAACTTTCTACACTCTACCCGAATGTCTAGGAGTTTCTCCGCGACTAAAGTACTTTCTAGAATGAATGATTCGGTTCGACTGAAGGCGTCCCTATAAAAGGATTTTTATTGTTGACTTATTTCATCGAATATTCTTGGTAATCGGAATAGTTTAGTCTGTAAGAAGCCTAAATAAGATAGAGAGGGATTTGAGCAGGTTCAAAATGGCTCGCAAGACATTACCATTTTTTACAGATAACATTTTGTTCCGCTCTTTATTATTGTTTTGAAAGAGGAAGTATTTAGTCAATTTTATTGAATAAATCTCTTCTTTCTATTTTACAAAGTGTTGTTTATTTATTTCCATGTTTATGTTAACACCATTGATATTATTGATAAAAATTGGATAAATTGATTTTTTTTATTAATTTTTTTTATCAGATTGTTAGATTTTATGATATGATTGTTGACAATCAATAAGAGCGTTCAACTGACATAACAGTTGAGCATCGTTGTGCCGTTCAGAAGGCACTTGTTGAGTTTTGGTTAGTTTTAATCATTCTCCAACATCGACACCAGGAAAAGTCTATTAGGCATTCCAACGACCTGTCAAACAATATGTGCCAGTGGAAAATTCTTGTATATCTAAGGGGGTAGCGACATAGTCTTGCAACTTGGACGCTATTTTTATTCGAAGTAGTAGTCGCCAAGCCTGCCAATTTATGAAGAAATGTATAGGTAGGTTTTTTAAATATTATTTTTATTGTGTTTGACATAAAATATTTAAATGTAATCCATTATTCATGATTTTACGTAAAGTAGATAGAATACACCGTATGTCGCCACCCTTAGATATACCAAACCTTCCCACTGGCAATTCATTTGTTTGGAATGCCTAATTGTAAATTACAAACTAAAATATTACACCCAGTACTGCCAACTTGAGGAATTTTTAATTTAGGGATTTCTAGTGATTTTTTTTTTACCAGTTTAGCTTTGTGAAAGATTTCTGGCTTCACCTATAATAAATCAGGCATGTATGGCACTAAGATGGTGAATACAGAATAGGGGTTGCTCGGGCGCCAGTTTTGGTAACACAGTTTGCTCTGCGACTATGCAGTACACCAGAGTGTACTCAAGATAAACTCAGTGGAGTTAAAAGTACTTTTAGGCGGTCACGGCTAACGAGAATAATAATTAGAATAAAGGCCCTTCTCGTACTCTACGGTACTCTGAAGAAAAAACGGTTAAGAACCGGTAATAAAAGAAACACAGGGATAAATAACAAAATATATTCACAAAAAAATGCAGTTTCTTCAAGACTTTGTCTAATTCTTGGTTCCAGAGCCGACTTGCTTGCTTTAAACCGTACAAAGCCTCGAGTAGTCTGCAAGTTTTGCCATCTGGTAGCTCCATATAGATTTCTTCGTCGAGTTTTGGATGTAAAAAGGCTGTGACTACATCCATCTGATCGATATCCCAATCGTATTTCACTGCTAATGTTAACAGGAGTCGTATTGAACTGTTATCTCACTACAGGCGAAAAGGTTTCTTCAAAATCTAGGCCTGGTACTTGGGAGTATCCTTTAGCTACTAACCTCGCTTTATGTCGTTCAATTTCTCCATCTACTGTTAGTTTAGTTCTGAATGTCCATTTACTCTTAATAGCTCTTTTGTATGATGGTACGTTACAGAGTTTCCAAGTTTGGTTCTTAAAATGTGCGCTCATTTCTTCCTCCATAGCCGCTTTCCACTCCTCTGCGTGTTCATTTTTAAGAACTTCATTTACATTTTTCGGATCTGACTCAATGTTGACAACTGCTTGACAAATAAAGTCAGAATTAAAAAAGTCTGTTAAATTGACGTATACGGGTAGATCTTCGTAGGCTAACTTCTAGGTCATCCAAGTTTGCAATATTGTTTGATTGTTTATTGCTGTAAAATGCGACTTCTGAATTGCTAGTTGATGCAATATTTTTCACATTTTCTTGCAATAATAAGTTTTTCACGAATTCTGTGGTTGTAGACTGCATTGAACCTTAAATACCCAAAATGAGTGGTTTATATTCTTCTGGTAAACCACAAAGAATGATTCTTCCAACCACTGTGTCCTTAAATGGTTCACCGACAAAATCGCGCATTTTCGAAGTTCTAGAATCTCTGGAATTTCTTCCTCTATGAGTCAGCCGACACGCAGCGATTTCTTTGGTAGCTGCTCTGTCCTGCGAGAGGATCAGGGTCGGCTTTAGATAGTTACAAAACAATTAGAATACGGCTGTTGAAATTTTGATATACAGTATCTTAAGTTTCCTAGAAATACGCCAGAAGAACGGTATAAAATAAGCGATTCTATTATTTAGAGAGTTAGAGCAATACGCGCCAGTCCACTAGCGGTATAAGTGTATCCATCTGTCCAATTGTGGCAGTCACCTGATTCACGAGAGCTTCCCTTTATTTTCTCACGTGTAAATATATTTTTGAAGGGTCCATGGGTTAACATATTGTATTTAAGGTAGTTCACTCGCGACAGTCGTACACAAAAATATCGCCCTATAGTGAATACCAACCGTTCGAGATTCTTAAATCTAAAGAAAGGTTATTTTTGTAACAGACTGTACACACAACACATGTGATCCTATATACAAATATGGTATTATATCGCGTAAAATCTATCCGGCAACGTCGCAAATATATTGTGAAACGTCAACTGTATTCCTAAAGTAAAATAAATATAAATATCAAAATGTTTCATTGTCAGGATCAATTAATTGCCAGATAAAGGAAAATTTGTTAAGCAGAACGTCCTCAACAAACGCAAAAAATCAATTTTGGCTATGAATAATGCAAAAAAATTGAGAAAGGAAACCTCAAGCTTGAAAAATAACCTGTGCAGTGGTCGCATCGTGAAATTATTAGAGTTGGGAGAAAATTTAAAATGTTACTGGCGTGAAAGAGTTATTTCTCTTGAAAATATTACAAATGAAACACGAAAGGGCCTTGATTCAATTTTAAATGTTAAATGTAATGAATGTAATATTGAAACTATAGTACCTACGGACAAAGTTCATGTTCACTTCTGCCAGGTACCACCGTATCCTCCTGTACAGCAACTGGCACGGTACTGTCCCCATATGGATGTAGGAATACCTCTTCGACACCAACTTTCATCACTCTGTTTTTCAAGTCCAACTGGAAACCATGTAAGTTCATTACATCCATTCCAAGAATAACTTCTTCTTCGATATCAGCGACAATAACAGTGTGAGTGAACTTTTGTGTACCAATTCCCAATTGAACCTGGATTTCCCCATGGATGTTGGCACTTTCACCTGTGGCAGTCCGTAGTCGCAATCTTGTTGGTAGAAGTTTCTTACGGTTATTTATAGTTGTTGGTCGTATAATAGTCCTAGTTGCTCCAGTATCCGCCAACAGTGTATACTTTTTGCCATTTACTTCGCCGTCTACGTATACACTATCATCGCTACATTTTAAAGAGGCTACCAGTATGAGAGGGTCTTTGGAACGGTTTCTGGTCGAAGCTGTCCCCTCTAAGCCGACTCGCTCTAGTTTTCCTGCGGTGTGTTGTCTTGATTTGTTGGGAACCTAGGGCGTTTGCACGAACTGCGTACATGTCCCAGTTCACCGCAATTCCGGCACCTGCTAGTCTTCGTCTTTATCTTTCTGTCAGTAAGGGTCTTCATCATATTCACCAGTTGATCGAGTTTACCTTCCTCTTCTTCCTTTTTTAAGGTCCTCACTTTATTGTATCCACCAGAGGCCTCATATTTAAGGGCACCGGACAAGACATGGACTAATGTTTTGTGACGGGCTAGACGAAGTATTCTTTGCATCTCGTGGTCACGAAGTCCATCAACAAATGTTTGGACTGCCAAACATTCCATCATGTTTTCCGGAGCTAATGGATAAGCAAATCGCACCAACCTGGCAATATCTACTTCATATTCCTGAAGAGTCTCGTCTCGTTTCTGTTTACGACTCTTCAACTGTGACTGGTACAAATGCTCCAAGTGTTCGTGGCCATATCGCATATTTAGTCTCTTTTTGAGTTGCTCGAAATCATCTGTCTCTTTCACGGGTATAGTCTGAAGGATATTCAAAGCGTCTCCTCGAAGGGCTATGGTCAAATTTATTGCCTTCTCTCGTTCAGACCACTCGTTTGCTCTGGCAGCTGTTTCGAACTGCTTAAGGTAGTTCGCCCAAGACATCTCTCCGTCAAAAGTTGGGGCTTTAACACGAGGAGAGGTTACAGCTCCTTCCAATTTCAACTTCGACTCCACCTCATAACACTTAATTTCAACGTCTAATGTCAACACTAAAGCAGTTCTAGGTAAATTTAAAAAAATACATAAGTATTTGTTATGTTTATAATTTTTTTATTATAATTAATATAATTTTATTTATTTAAAGGTGCTGTCCATTATTCAGGGTTTGGTTAAACTGCTTTAAATAAATTTCTTGCTGTCATGAACGTTTCTACGACATTATCAATACTACAGAAAAGCATTACTTTTATTTGTATTTTTTTATGACTTCCTCATACTAATAAGTTAAAATTTTAAATTAATTTATATTCATTTTTTTTGTGTAACTATTTTATTTTGAAGGCATGTTTAAATAAAATTATATTCTTTTTTTGCATATTTATTTAATTTTGAAGACATTTTTAAATACAGTTAAATTTAAATTGTTAAATCATATCAACCTAAAGTATACACAACGTCCCTTCCCAGAATGCCTCGATAAAATGATAAACTTGACCTGTCCGCGGCAATAAAAAGGTTGGGAAGCACTGCTCTAACAGACATTTGAATTAGCGGGCGTTGAGTGTATCGATTACAACGTTGCCAAGTTGTAATCACAATACGCCACTATGCGTCGACTGCATTAAGAACATTTTTATTTTAAAAATCTATATTTCTTTATCAAAACGGTAAAAAAATTCAGCGTTTTTTTAGAAAATTTTATAACTTCTTGATTTACATTACATTAGTTTTTAAAAAATATGGTAAGAACCGTTTTCGAGATATCTTGAAATAAATGCAATGATTGTGTACATGACAGGACTTCAAGAGTGTTAATTATGCACATTTTGATTGTTAATATCTCGTTTTACAGACGGTCAAAATTTTTTATTTTTTTATGTACATAAAAGACACTTTCATTAACCTCATATTTCAATTTTATTGAATTCTTAAGAAAGGCCGTTTTACGAGTGAACTACCTTAAGTGCCCATTTTAAGTATTTGACTTGAACTGCAAACAGCAATGAGTAACATGTGTAACTTATTTAAATTCCCTTTTCGTGTTTCAAATGCACACAGTACAACAAGTAGATAATACCAAAACGTTCATGGTTAGAGAATAAGCCCTCAAACTTCAAAATATCAATGTTGGTCTTTTATAAGGGAACTTTTTCCCATTTAATCAATTTTGTAGTTTAGAAAATTAGAATAGTGTGCTTTTACATTTTCTACATCCTTTATATTCTGTTATTATTATTATTATTATTTTTTTAGGTAATTGATGCAGATGGTCTCTACTTAATATCTCAGAAACCAGAATTGCTAAAAAATTACCCAGCACCTATTGTTTTAACTCCTAACATTATGGAGTTTAATCGACTTGTGGGTCAAACTGCAGGCGATGGAACCAAATTGGAACGGTCAACTACTTTTTTTAATAAGTTAGGAGGAAATATTACTATTTTGTGTAAGGATTATGAAGATGAAATAATCAGCAATGGAAAAAGTGTTAAAGTAGTGGGCGGCGGATCGGGAAGACGATGTGGAGGACAAGGGGATTTATTAGGTGGATCTCTTTCCACTTTTTTAGGTAAATATGAAAAAACATGAGGTTCTCTATATTCAGATCTAATTAACATAATTGGTAGAGTTGCCAGCTGTCCTTTTTTTAAAGGACAGTCCTTTTTTGAAGCAAGATGTCCTTGTGACTTTTTAAAGCTTAAAATGTCCTTTTTTACGGCAAATGTCTTTTTTTACAGCACATATCTTTGGAAGGGACTGGTTTGCACAAAAATATATAAGCTGAGGATCTTTTTTTGTTTTTTTTTTACAAGTTCAATAGAAGATTAAGGTCTTTTTTGTATACCAAAGCCTCTGTCATCATCGTAGTCCTTTATTCACTCTTCAAAAAGGTGGCAACTCTAATGATTGGTTTCATTCCGTTTACTTTTTTTTTAAATCTGGTTTGGCTACTACAAAAGTCAAACATCGGTCTCTCTGTATAATAAGACGGACACTATTGCAGTTATTTTTCTTCTTTACTACCAACAAAAAATGTAACGTTGCCACATCCCTTTTTATAAGATGACAATATTTTTTATTCTCAACACTTCTAATGTTTAAACAGTTACGTAGACAAACTGCAGTAAGTACTTGTATTATATTTTGAAAAGTTGTAATTTTTACTTATAAATCTATATAAAAGAGAAATACCACTCACTGACTCATTACCAGATTTTTACATTTTAAGGAGGGGGGAGGTAATTGGGGATAAAAGTTTGTAGGAGGGTATAGAAGGTTTTAAAGGTTGGAAATTGAACATTGCAATTGTAGCTATTCATCATAAATAAATAATGAAGGATTTTTCCTGGTTTTTGGATTTTTACATTTTAAGGGGACAAATGGGGCGGTGAACATGTGTAGTATGCGAGTATAGAATTTGTTAAAGGTAAGAACTTGAAAAACAAAATAAATAAAAATTTAAATTGTAGCTACTTATCATAAATACATAATGACGTGTTTCAGGTTTTGGATTTTCACATTTTAAGGGGGAGGGAAGAAGTGGTGAAATAAATAAAAATAAATAATAAATAAAAAGAAATAAAATAAATGAAAAAAACAAACAAATACAAACAAATACAAACAAATACAAACAAATACAAACAAATACAAACAAATACAAACAAATACAAACAAATACAAACAAATACAAACAAATACAAACAAATACAAACAAATACAAACAAATACAAACAAATACAAACAAATACAAACAAATACAAACAAATACAAACAAATACAAACAAATACAAACAAATACAAACAAATACAAACAAATACAAACAAATACAAACAAATACAAACAAATACAAACAAATACAAACAAATACAAACAAATACAAACAAATACAAACAAATACAAACAAATACAAACAAATACAAACAAATACAAACAAATACAAACAAATACAAACAAATACAAACAAATACAAACAAATACAAACAAATACAAACAAATAAAAACAAATACAAACAAATACAAACAAATACAAACAAATACAAACAAATACAAACAAATACAAACAAATACAAACAAATACAAACAAATACAAACAAATACAAACAAATACAAACAAATACAAACAAATACAAACAAATACAAACAAATACAAACAAATACAAACAAATACAAACAAATACAAACAAATACAAACAAATACAAACAAATACAAACAAATACAAACAAATACAAACAAATACAAACAAATACAAACAAATACAAACAAATACAAACAAATACAAACAAATACAAACAAATACAAACAAATACAAACAAATACAAACAAATACAAACAAATACAAACAAATACAAACAAATCTTACGTTTAAAATATTTTGTAACAATTTAACTATATAGTAATAAATTACTATCGCGCAAAAGCCAACCCTGTGCTTTGTTGACTCCTTGCCCGCGGTATGAAGTATAACGTGCGGTTTTATTTATTTCTATGACTGTTACATAAGATTTGGTTATATTATTAATTATAAATTCAATTTTTTTAATAAGTCAGTTTTATGACTTCCTCTGTTTTTTCCTTTATTCTTTATATTATTTTCAATATTTCTTATAACTGAGACGACTATGATCGAGATGAATATATATTCTTGGTAACAATTGAACAATTACTGTCATGGCAATGTTCTTATGTGTCAAATCGAGTTAATAATTATGGTTTATTTGGTTTTTCTTATTCAATTAAAAATATTTTTATTCAAATTTGATTTACATGTAGATTATGGTCTACTATTTTACAATAGCAAAAAACATTATCGCCAGCAGTATTAAAAAGTAAACTGAAAATACAACGTTTAGATTAAAGAGTCGCTTTACTTTTGCCGCCTAGGCCTTAAAAGTATTTTTCAGTATTTCATTTGAAATATACTTAAAAGCTAGCCTTTTTGATTGTTTTTTATCCGAAAAACGACATTTTATAACACATTTGACTAGTATATTATTAAACGAGCTATTTATGGTAGCCATTACTCACGCAGGGCGACGTTTGCTTCCCGAGCCGTAGGCGAGTGGCGCAAGGCGCCCGAATGAATAATGGCCATAAACTGCGAGTCTAATACTATACTTTGTCCTCGACCATTATGGTTTCTTTATTAAATAAAAGTTAAGTGTAGAATGGAAAGTTTTTATTGAACATAGGTAACTAACTGTTGTTTTTTCAACTTTTCAATTTTCCGATTTTTAGTTTTTTAGATTTTTCGAATTTCTGATTTTTTGATTTAGTAAATATCGTTATGAAAAGTATCGCCCATCTACCGGAAATTACCAGAATTACAAAAGTCTGAATTATCATAATTCACTCTAGTGATATATGGGTACCATATGCTTTTAGTTAGGAGGTAGAGTATTGATTTATTATTAAGTGGTCGCGAACATCAAATAATTAAAATAGGTACTACACCATAAACTAAAAACACTCACTCATAATAGGTCCAAACAAATAGACCTTTAAATCAAAATTTCGGAGAAAATACAGACATTTTTAAAATAAACCACTTTTTCAAGTATCTGAAAACGACATGTGAAAAAATTTTGTTTTTCAGGCCCCGGCAAATGGCGAAAAATAAGAAAATAAAGTGTTTTTTAAGGTTATTTAAAAATGGTAGCTGCTATAAAAAAAGTTCTAAATAAAAATTGTAAAGCATAGAGTTTTACATATAAATTATATTTACCATTTTTGGCTATTATTAAAGTGTGGTTAGAAATTATGAGGAGATATGACTTTAAAAAATCATAGAGAGCTGAAAATTCAATGATTTTTTAGTTTCTTCTTATTTACTCAGAAAAATATAAACTTTCTTTTCAGAAAAATTAGTTTTTTTATTTGTTTTTTTTAAGTTCAACAATTTTAAATTATATTTTTCAATATAATATACTTTATATAGTAAAACAAATTTTGAAGTGAACTTATTACGGCTTGCCTGCCATGAAAAATATGAGGAGTGAACTAATAAAAACGACATCGCGACAGTTCAGTCACCACTTGAAATTCCATTAAATAAATAAAAATAAGTAAAAAAATAAATATATAAATAAAATTAAACAAAAATAAATAAAGAGATAAAAGAAAATAAATAAAATTAAATACAAAAAAATGAAAATAAAAGCAAATAAAAACAAATAATGAAACTTAAAAAAAAATATAAAAATAGAAAAAATATATAAATAAAATAAAGAAGAAATAAAAAACTAACTAAAAAGAATGAATAAAAATAAATAAAAAATTAAAATAGTTAAAAAAAGTAAATAAAAATAGAAAAATTATTAAAAATAAATACATGCATAAATAAAATTAAACAAAAATAAATAAAAATGAATAAAACGAAATACATGTATAAATAAAATTAAACAAAAATAAATAAAAATGAATGAAAATAAATATTAAAAATGGAAATATATGAGAATAAATAAAAATAAAAAAGGAAAAAATATTTATTTTTATTTATTTATATTTTTTATTGGTTGTATTTATATTTTTAATTTATTTTATCTGTTTTATTTATTTTTATTAGTTTTTATTTTTTTAATTGATTTTATTTATTTTTATTTTTTTAATTGATTTTATTTATTTTTATTTTTTATTTTTATTTAATTTTATTTATATATTTGTTTTTATTTATTATTATTTTTTATCTAATTTTTTTTATTTATCTTTATTTAATTTTTATTATTATTAGTTTTTTATTTACTTATTTTTATTTATTAAGCTATTGCATAGCTTTTATCGCGGGCTTTCAGCGCATCGACCGAATCAAGAAATTCCGTAACGTAACTTAAATAACTTTAAGAATACACTTTATTTTTTGCCATTTGCCGGGGCCTAAAAAAAATGTTTTTTCATATATCGTTTTCAAATACTCGAAAGTGATTTATATCACAAATTCCTGTATTTCCTCAAAAATTTTGAATTGAAGGTCTATTTGATTGGACTATAATTCTAAATTCGAAAAATAAAAATCTGATGTGTCCAACACATGACTTTCCTATCTAGTTATTACGTAAAAAACAAAAATTATAGAGATCGATATCGCAAACATCTTTTAGTTTAACAATTTTCTTAAAAATCTGAATTTTTTACATTTTGAAAAATTTCTCGAATACGGACCATTTTAGGAAAATTTTGTATGGAACAAAAATTATAGAGAATAATATTAGAATTAACTTTTATTTAAAGAATTTTCTTCTCCAAACGTAAATAACAGATATATTTTATAAAATATAAAACTGACTACTCATAAAATACCCCCCAGATGTTCCGACTCTGCCCAAAATTTAATCAATTCACCTCAGGCCGGAATAAAGCTTAAGTTTAAAATCTAATGTGTTTTTCTTTATCCGTTTTTGAATTTTATTTAAAATTCGAAATTTATACTTTTTCTTAAATATCTCGAATACGGTCCATTTTATAGAAATTATGTATGGGACAAAAATTATAGAGAATTATATCGCAAACAACTTTTATTTGAACAATTTTCATAAAAATTTGATTTTTTTACATTTTATCATTTCTCGAATACGGACCATTTTAGGAAAATTTTGTATAAAACAAAAAATATAGAAAATAATATAAGAAGTAACTTTTATTTGAACAATTTTCTTGTCCAAACGTAAATAACAGATATATTTCTTAAAATATAAAAATGACCCCCTATAAAGTACCCTCCCAGATGTTCCGACTCTGCCCAAAATCTAATCAGTTCACCGCAGGCCGGAGTAAAGCTTAAGTTTAAAATTTGGTGTTTTTCTTTGTATCGGTTCATGAGTTATGGTGGATACAGTCACACACACACACACACTGACATACAGACACACACACACTGACATACAGACACACACACACACTGACATACAGACACACACACACACAGACACATACACAGACACACACATACACAGACACACACACACACACACGCCCGCCCGCACCCACACACACACACACACACACACACACGCACACACACACGCACACACACGCACACACACACACGCACACACACACACGCACACACGCACACACACACACGCACACACACACACACACACACACACACACACACACAGACATCATCCCGAAAATAGTCAAAACGGATTCAGGGGACCCCAAAACGTAAAAATCCGTCGAAAACTGGAGGTCGAAAAAAATCATGATTCCTATACTTTCCTTATCTGTATACAGATAGGAAAGTAAAAAATTGACAGATGGCGATTCGTAAAAGCTCTTTGCTAAAATTATATTTTGTTCTTACCGTTGCAGTACACATAAGTCATTTTAAAAGTAGGGTTAATGTTATGTAAATTTGCTAAAACTCTCTATTTAATTAAAAACAAATAACATATTTATTTTACTCTTTTAGCTTGGGCTATAAATAAGAATGAAGATCCCATTGTGGCTTGTTATGCTGCAGCCAGACTTACACGACAGTGCAACGAAAGAGCATTTGCGAAACATGGTAGAAGTATGACTACAACAAATATGATAGACGAGATTCATGATGTTTTCGAGGATAATTTTGAATATAAATAATTTGTAAGGTTTATTTTATTCTTTCCCTTTTTGAGCAATTTTAATTTACACTTATGTTGTAATGTAATGCTGTATACAATTGACCTTTTGCATTATTCGACAATTTCGCATTACTAATGCGCGAAAGAAGCGCGAGAATTTTGAATCTAGTAATTGCTGAGGCCCTTTCTATGGGACAGACGAAAAAAAATTTCTTGTCCCCATTTTTTTTTAACTTTTTTACGTTTTCCATCATTCTGAGTCCGAAAATGCAGAAAAAATTCGTCTGGTCGTCTGTGCGTATGTATACCGACACGATAACTCTAGAACGAAAGTTCTAATTGATTTTCTTGAATAATTGCTTCTAACTTAAAACCCTATTGATTTTCAGAATTTTTGGTTCATCCTAACTAGTTTAATATTAGTGTTCTTAAAATCCGTCCATGCATTTCTTGTGACTTATTTTACGCATTCCAATCATTCCTAACGTCTAACATTCCATACATTACAAACATTTTAATATTAGGCACTCCAACGACCTGTCAAACAACAGCTGTTGATTGTAAAGGTGAGATTTCTAAGGGGGGTTGCGACCTTCATAGTTGCAATCATTAGCCATTTTGCTATTTTTATTCGAAATAGTAGAAAAATCGAAAAATCCAAAATCTAAAGATCGAAAAATCCAAAAATCGAAAAATCAAAAAATTGAAAAATTCAAAATCGAAATATCCAAAAATCGAAAAATCCAAAATCAAAAAATTCAAAATCCAAAGATCGAAAAATGCAAAAATAGAAAAATCAAAAAATTGAAAAATTCAAAATCGAAAAATCCAAAAACAAAAAATCGAAAAATCCCAAATCGAAAAATTCAAAATCCAAAGATAAAAATCCAAAAATCAAAGAATCCAAAATCAAAAAATTGAAAAATCCAAAATTAAAATATCTAAAAATATAAAATCGAAAAATTCAAAATCAAAATCGAAAAATTCAAAATCCAAAGATCGAAAAATCCAAAAACCAAAAATCGAAAAATCCAAAAATAGAAAAATCAAAAAATTGAAAAATCCAAAAACGAAAAATCCAAAGATCAAAAAATTCAAAATCCAAAGATCAAAAAATCCAAAAATCAAACAATCCAAAATCAAAAAATTGAAAAATCCAAAATTCAAAGATCGAAAAATTTAAAATCAAAAATCGAAAAATCCAAAATCAAAAAATCTTAAAATCGAAAAATCCAAAATCTAAAAATCGAAAATCTAAAAGTCGAAAAATTCAAAATCCACAAAGATCAAAAAATCAAAGAATCCAAAATCAAAAAATTGAAAAATTCAAATATCTAAAAATTTAAAATCGAAAAATTCAAAATCCAAAGATCGAAAATCCAAAAATCCAAAAATAGAAAAATCAAAAAATTGAAAAATCCAAAAACGAAAAATCCCAAATCAAAAAATGCAAAATCCAAAGATCAAAAAATTCAAAATCCAAAGATCAAAAAATCCAAAAATCAAACAATTAAAAAATCCAAAATTCAAAGATCGAAAAATTTAAAATCAAAAATCGAAAAATCCAAAATCAAAAAATCGAAAAATCCAAAATCTAAAAATCGAAAATCTAAAAGTCGAAAAATCCAAAATCGAAAAATTCAAAATCCACAAAGATCAAAAAATCCAAAATCGAAAAATCAAAAAATTGAAAAATCCAAAATCGAAAAATCCAAAATTCAAAGATCGAAATGTCCAAAATCGAAAAATCCAAATTCTAAAAATCGAAAATCAAAATATTGAAAAATCAAAAAATCTTAAAATCGAAAAATCCAAAATCTAAAAATCGAAAATCTAAAAGTCGAAAAATCCAAAATCGAAAAATTCAAAATCCACAAAGATCAAAAAATCCAAAATCGAAAAATCAAAAAATTGAAAAATCCAAAATCGAAAAATCCAAAATTCAAAGATCGAAATGTCCAAAATCGAAAAATCCAAATTCTAAAAATCGAAAATCAAAATATTGAAAAATCAAAAAATCTTAAAATCGAAAAATCCAAAATCTAAAAATCGAAAATCTAAAAGTCGAAAAATCCAAAATCGAAAAATTCAAAATCCACAAAGATCAAAAAATCCAAAATCGAAAAATCAAAAAATTGAAAAATCCAAAATCGAAAAATCCAAAATTCAAAGATCGAAATGTCCAAAATCGAAAAATCCAAAATCTAAAAATCGAAAATCTAAACGTCGAAAAATCCAAAATCGAAAAATTCAAAATCCACAAAGATCAAAAAATCCAAAATCGAAAAATCAAAAAATTGAAAAATCCAAAATCGAAAAATCCAAAATTCAAAGATCGAAATGTCCAAAAGCGAAAAATCCAAATTCTAAAAATCGAAAATCAAAATATTGAAAAATCCAAAATCGAAAAATTGAAAAATCCAAAATCTTAAATCCAAAAATCAAAATTTCTAAAAATCGAAAAATTCAAACTCCAAAGATCGAAAAATCAAAATCAAAATTTCCAAAAATCGAATAATCCGAAATCAAAAAATCCAAAATCCAAAAATCGAAAAATCCAAAATTGAAAAATCCAAAATCGAAATATTTAAAAATCGAAAAATGGAAAATCCAAAAATTGAAAAATACCATATCGAAAAATTAAAATCCAAAGATCAAAAAATCAAAAAATTGAAAAATTTAAAATTAAAAAAATCCAAAATCGAAAAATCCAAAATCGAAAAATCCAAAATCAAAAAATTGAAAATCCAAAATATAAAAATCGAAAAATCCAAATTCTAAAAGTCGAAAAATCCAAAAATCGAAAATCAAAATATTGAAAAATCCAAAATCGAAAAATTGAATAATCCAAAATCAAAATTTCCAAAAATCTAAAAATTGAAAAATCCAAAAACGAAATATTAAAGAATCTAAAAATTCAAAATCGAAAAATTCCAAAATCAAAAAATTGAAAATTCAAAATATAAAAATCCAAAATTCAAAGATCGAAAATTCCAAAAAGTCACTGGCTGCCTACCATTACTATCAAACGGAAAAACAAAATGACATTTGCGGATTTATTATTGGAACTTAGGGTAGAAAACTAGACAACAATTAATTTTTATGATTTTAACCGGGAGTAGAATTTGCGCATGAGTAATAGAGATTATCAACAATGGGAAAGGTCCATACCACAAAGCACGTATCCTCTAGAGCAGCGATACTCAACCTTTTTTTTTTCCTTAGGGCCACATGCGCATGTTTCCTACGTTACACGGGCCGCAATATTTTTGGATGATGGCCCTTTATTAAGACCATCCATTAAAAATTAGTCAATGAGAATCTCTAATAAATAAAATAGAAAACAAATATAACCTATATCGGGTTACTGCAAAAATAAAATAACTCACATTTTTTAGAGTTTCAAGAAAACGCTCTTCAAAAGGTTAAAATTTAATAAAAAAAATCAACTGTTTAATAAACAATAACTCAAATAAAAAAAATTTTTCAAAACAACTATACTGTTTTTAAACTAAGAGGAGCGATTTGAATTTAAGTTGGCAATTCTGTAGACTTCTGATTGGTCAGATTGCAGTCAGTTTCACACATTACTTTTTAGCTGATAATTGTTATTGTTGACAGTTCTATTCTTACATTTTAAATTATAAGTTTTGTTATTTGATATCTTATCATTATTACTTAGTTTTTTATTTTATTTCTTTAATAACAGTTCTTTTCAAAACTTTAGTAAGCAATTGTATTGAATTTCTACGATTATTGATCCTTCTACAACGAATACTATTATAGCACTTCCTTGCGGAGTCCATTAAAACAACGAAAACGAATGAGTTTAGGCCATTCAAGTCTCAGAAAAGCAGTAAATAATAATAATATGTACAAATAGGTATTGGATTCAAGAACCAAAATTGTTGATGTTAGGGTTAGTTGGGGTAATGGTAAACGATTTTTATAAAAAAATCTTCGAGGTCTGTTAAAATCTAAACTTAAATGTTTACCAAAGAATTTTTTTAGGTGGAGTTTTTTTGAAGGTTTGTGCATATGTGCTTGGCATAGCAAGAATAAGGTTGTGGAATTTATCGAAATATTAGATGTTTACAATTACCCAAGAAAAAAGAAAAATTATTGAAATTTTGGGGCAATTGTAAACATCGTGTTTGTCGTTAATATGAGTCCTGTTTAACATCATAGGGGTATTTGTGAACATAGAACAAATTAGATGAGTTTTCGTTCTTTCAGGACTGTAATTTCTAGTACAATTACCCCAAGGATATTAAAATAAAATACTTGGTAAGAAATTAATTTATTCTACTCGTTAGTACAAAGCTTTAAAAAGGTAATTTCACTAAGATTTTTCGAAAATGTCTACTTTACCAGGAAACGAGTAAATCATTTTACGTCCCACAAATTTTGTATCGGGTTTAGGAAGAATAGCAGTCACATTATCAATTGTAATATAAGATACAATCATCTCGTTGATGTAGGAGTCAGAACAGGTTTCGTCTAATGACTTGAGCCCTATAATGGCAATTTCACCATCATCTTCATCCTTCTTTTGAACTACGCAAACATATTTATATTTATTATTGGAGCGCTTGCCTATTCCAGAGAATTTTGCTAGGATAAATGTGTCTTCCTGCAAATCCTCCCACTTCACTTCTCCATGCTCCACAGATTTCAAATCTTTTGAGAAATTTTTATTGATCGGTGGTAAATTTTCGTCGTCTTCCTCAGATTCTTCGAATAAATTTATGTCTTCCTCACTTTCGATATCAGATGGAGTGAATTTTAAGGTTCTCTTTTTTTTTGTACCTTTACTTTTGCACTTTTTCATTTTTCGGGGCTTAGTCACATTTCCTTTAGCATTTTTCTTTTCCTCAGCTTCTTTCAGTTTCTTAAATACTTCAGGAGTGGTTAAGACTTCTTCGTAAGTAGACTGTTTCAAACGTGGAACAACTTTTCTGGGAAGGGCACTGGTTACGTCTGACGCAGTATTATTACATGCTTCCTGCAACTTTTGAGTAAATAAT